AAAGGAGCAAAGGAGCTATGGGGGAAAAAAAGAGGAACATCTGTAATAATCTGAACAATAAAGATTTATTAATTAAAAAAATAAATAAATAAATAAAAATTAGCCTGCTATATTTGGTCAAACATTTAATTAATACCCCTAATGCCTTGGCAGGGCCACATCAAATGATTTCTTGGGCTGGATGTTCCCCAACCCTGCCAGGAATTGAGAATGAGGACAAGAGCCTTTCGGGTTATAATGGGTTATGCTTCTCTTAGAGAAGACAAATCATGAACATTTTAGTGTTTCTTTAACAAGTGAGATGGTGTGGAAATGTTTTCAAGGAGAAAACACCTTTTTTCATAGAGAATTTACTTGGCTAGTTAACAGAACTTTTCTTTCTTGGATTAAAGTGTAGTCACTTCTATTATATATCCTAAAGCCTCTGTCTCTCCTGGTGGGGACATGTGAGCACTACTAAGGGCCTGGAATGTCCCAAGAGGGTAAGAATAGCCCACATGAGAGATGACTCCTGCTGTCTTCTGGTCCCTGCAGTTGTCAGGAACATTTTGCCTTAGAGGCAAACAGCTCGGGGGCGTCTCAACAGAGACAGAAAAACTGACCTCTTGTTCCTGGGCTCAAATTTTTCCTTTCATATTTACAGCTTTCATTTTTAACTCTTTTGTGGCTAACATACATTTGTTTCTCCAAAGATTTCCCACCTCCTTGGAGACAACAAGCTTCTGATGTCCCCAGCAGCCTTGAGTCTTCAACATTCTGGAAGCATGGACCGTTTGGACTTGCTCGGGTTCCTCATCATCACGTTAAACTGCAATGTGACTATTGTGGGTGAGTACAGGAAACACCCCCAAAGCTCTTATTCTGTTTTTTGTTTTTATTGGTTTTCCACACCCACACCAACACAAAGTGCAAAGGTCTGTGCACTGCTAGAGTAAAAAGGGGCTGTGGGTTCAAGCTTCTGATTTCACCATGGTTCCTCTATCATTTAAGGAAGTCTGGGTGTGAGTGTTTTTCTCTCCTGGGGCCTCTTCTTGCTGATACTCTGGTGGTGAGTCTAAAGCCTGAGCAGGTGAAAGGGGTAACACTTCTCTGGCTGCATTACCAGGAAAAGATAAATTAATGCCTCAGTTATGCTTTCTTCTTGTTCTAGAGTTTAATCTTGAAGCTTAATTTGTAAAGATTAGCAATTTCTTTTGTGCTTTAAACCAAATCCCAATTTTAGTTATATTTTAAACAAAAAAAGTAATAAGGACTTCTGAATTTAGTGCAGATAAGACAAATTTTTAGAGAAGTATGGGTGTCCTAGAAAAAGGGACTGAGAAAAGGATTAGTCGTTGATATTTTTCTTACTCTTTATTTTGTATAATTGAAACAAAATCAAGTTGGTCTTTAAAAGTTTGAGTCAATAACTTTATCACATAATAATATTATTTAACTGACTTCATTTATAATAGAGTTTTGTTTTTCTATCAGGTGATGTTTTCTGTATCTCATCACAAAACAAAGTATTTACAAATTATTTTCACTGAGTCTTAAATATATTTCAAAATAGTTGACTCATGACATGAAAAGAGGACTTTTGAAGTTATTTTGATTCCCCAGGTTGGCCATATTTATTCATGATAAGTTGAAAAAAGACAAACCTCATTAATTCATAATAACTGAAATAGGGGAAAAGGAATTCTAAATTACTGAAAATTCTGAAAAATTGAATATTCTTAAATAATTTTTTTGTTAATCCTCACGGGAGGACATGTTTATTGATTTTTAGAGAAAGGGAAAGAGAGAGAGAAACATAGATTGGTTGCTACCATAAACATGCGCTGAGTCAGGATGGAACCTGCAACCTTGGTATGTGCCCTGATGAGGAATTGAACCTACCACCTTTTGGTGTACGGGACACACTCCAACCAACGGAGTCACCCGGACAGGGTTTAAAGAAATTTGATTCTAAGGGCTATAAAGCAATATTAAGTACAATCCCTATTGCCTGGCCGGTATTGCTCAGTGGATTGAGCCTTGTCTCATGAGCCAAAAGGTCGCTGGTTCAATTCCTGGTGAGGGCACATGCCCACATTGCAGCTCCATGCCCAGTAGGGGGCATGCAGGAGGCAGCTGACTGTAGTTTCTTTCTCCCCCTCCCTTCCTCTCTCAAATCAATAAAATATGTATTTAAAAAAATAAAAACAAGTCCTGTTATTAAATGAAGGAGGCCTTGTGGACCATTATCATAAATAAAGACTTATTGTATTTGCTCTACACAGTTACAGGAATGCACTAACATCCTTTAAAAAGTTTAATCTCCTAAAAAAGTAAGATCTTATTTGCATCATTCATTTTCTCAGCTCAACTTTCTTTCTAGAACTTTCAGTCCAGGAGACATTACCAAAGTCTGAATTAGCAGAGCCAAATTAAACATTTTCTGTAATTACGCTTCTTTAACATCTGCTAATTTCAAAGCATTTTACAAACAAGTAGTTCACACAGTGTCTGACACATTGTAAGTGCTAGATAAATATTTGTCACATGCAAACTAGGTGATACTGTTGCTGTGACTAAAATGCATGCTTTTGGACCTTACACTTCACTCTCAGCCCCAGGATATATGTAAACATCATTGTTAGGAGGAAGTCTGTTTTCATGGTGGTGCCCTTCTCTTTTCCAGGGAAGATCTGGCTTATCTTCATGATCCTGCTAAGGATGGTGGTGATCATTGTGGCTGGGTCCCCCGTTTATCAGGATGAGCAGGAGAGGTTTGTGTGCAACACTCTGCAGCCCGGGTGCGCCAATGTCTGCTATGATGTCTTCTCCCCAGTGTCCCACCTGCGCTTCTGGCTGGTCCAAAGCGTGTCTGTTCTCCTCCCTTCAGTGGTTTTCAGTGCCTATGTGCTGCACAAAGGAGCTGAGCTCGCTGCCCGGGGACCCTGTGGGCCAGATGGTGGTTCAGGAAGCCAGGACCTCGAAGACCTGAGCCCCAGGGATAGGCTCTGCCCTCTGCCCTGCAGGGAGGGGCGCAGCCTAGTGGTTCCAGACTTCTCCTACGGCTACATTGTGCACCTCTGTCTCCGGACCCTGGCAGAGACAGCTTTAGGGGCCTTGCATTACCTCCTCTTCGGATTCTCGGTCCCCAACAGGTTTTCCTGCACCCACTCTCCCTGCTCTGGCTCAGTGGATTGCTACGTCTCTCGGCCCACAGAGAAGTCCATGCTGATGCTCTTTCTCTGGGCACTCAGCGCGCTCTCTGTGCTGCTCAGCGTGGCCGACCTGCTCTGCAGCTTGGGCAGGAGGACTCTCGGGGAGCCGGGACCCGCCGAGTGTCCCCGGGAAAGGAGGCCAGATCCGGTGGTGATGGATAGGCCGGGGGAGGAAAGGGTGTTGCTAGCACACCGGGGCCTGTGGACCAGAGGGCACGGTGCCCACAGCCCCAGTGGTCAGTGGGTTGTGTCGGGGCGGATGGAGCTTCCAGAGGAGGATGAGAGTGAGGGGCTGTCCTTTACCAGCGACAAGGTCTCCAGGGCTTGCACAGAGCCTGGGGGCAGGCCTTGCGCAGAGGTCCCTCCGGACTCCCGAAATGAGCATCCCTTAAAACCCCACCGTCTGCAGGCCCAGCACTGCCCGTCCAGTCTGTGGCAACCCTCAACCCGCCAGGCTGGCGCTGGGAGCGCCCCTCTCCTGGGGACCAGAAGGTCCGAGTGGGTGTGAAAAGGGCGGCCAGGCAGTGCAGTGACTGAAAGACTCGAACCCTAACATCACCTTGGCACGTGGAAAATCTTTATGTTCCTGGAGAATATCAACGGGCAGGAAGGCCAGCTGGCCTGTGACAAGGACTTCGTGGGACACACACAGACTTGTACTATTGATTTAATTTAGATCACCCTGTCTGCTGAAAGAAACCCTGGCATTCAAATTTGGACTGGAAGCTAAAATGATTGATTACAAAGTGTCAGGTTGCTTAGGGATTATGCTATACTCTGACTGGCTTGTTATCTTATTCTTTATCATAGTATGTGCTTTATGTAAAGCATGTTCTTTTACATTAACAGAGTTCATTACTGTTTTAATATTTTCCAGTGAATTATTATGAGTCTTTTTCTTTTTCTTTGTTTTTCATTTTTTCCTTTTTGTTTATTTTTCTGCTTGGATAAAAAAAAAGGCACCTTAAGCATGTCATCAGTAGAGACACATTAGTTTAACTTCTCCAAACCCCTTTAATAAAATTAATGGTGATTGCTTATGATATCCCACTTCATACTTCATTGTTATAGGAGACAAATGACAAATGCAGAAAATATGACTAGTTGGGGTTTTTAGAGGCAATGTTGATGGTTATAGCATGCAGATGAAAGGTGCACAGAATGTGGGTTGGCCCTGACTTACTTGTTTGTTCTGTGTCTCTGAGTGGTTGTCCTCACTGATTAGAGGGCCCACTTGCACTGTTGATGAGTGGCCCTTGCGCTGTCCCACGCTTGTAGGTTGGGTTTCATCTGTGTCCTTTAGAGGAAAATTGTACCTTCAGGTTGCGCTGAGTCTTCATGCTCCAGTGTAGCAGATGAGAAGCATGGGGAATGCTGTGGTTTCACAGTTCTTGCCCCTCTGCTCATGGAATGGGCACAAGCTCATTGCTGCACTTCTCTGTGTTGCTTTGGTTTGTGTGACTCTGTTAGATCTTTAATGCTGCCTTTAATTGCCTGATGGGAGGATGCAGTGCAGCAGAAAGAGCTACTATGGGACAGGACAAAGAGGAGAAGCCATCTGTTATACTTTCAGAATTTACAAATATCCTCTGGTCCCCAAACACAAAATGGTCGAGGAAGACATTACTCTCACCATTAAAATACTAAAAAAGGTGAACAAATGTACCTATGAAATCAATGGACATTTAACTGTTCTAAAGAAGACTTTGACAATGAAATATCTGCCAAGATGGAAAATAATATCCTACTCACTGTATCTACAGGCTATTAAAGCAATTGGTTACAACTGAAAAAAAATCATCCAAAATTGATTTTGGCATAAAACCAATGAATGTGCCTATATTTAATATATGCAGAAAATCAATTTCTTTCTCTCTTTCTCCTCAATTTATTGAAAACTGAGTCATGACTCAGACCCTTTTCTTCAATACTTAGATCAATGTCTGCACATACAAATAAGTCTGTTTTTTGAGTCTGATATTCCTAAATGATTCAGGGGCAAATCTGGTTTTTGTCTCTTGTAGCATGCAATTCTGGTGGACTTCCCAAGGGTAGGTGTAGTCTTAGAGATATAAGGATTCTCTAGGGCTTCATTACTATTCCCCACCCCCCATCTTTAAAATATCACCAGTAGACAGAACCTAGAGACAGGACTTGGCTGGAGATCCTAGACAGAACCTAGAGAGAGAACCTAGCAAGAGAACATGGCAAAAGATCCTGGACAGAACCTGGCTACAGAACTTGACTGGAGAACCTAGACAGAACCTGGCGACCGAACTTGGCTGGAGAACCTGGAGAACCTAGCGAGAGAACATGGCACCAGAACTTGGCTGGAGATCCTGGCTAGAGATGAGAACCTGGCTGGAGAACCTGGCAACAGAACCTGGCTGAGGAACCCAACTATGATGATCACCTGAATGCTGCCTCCGTGTCATTCCTTCTTCGCCTACTCCGTCCACACCTATGGGGAACCCCTGGCACGTGGAAAATCTTTATGTTCCTGGGGGTTGGACCCCAACAATTGTATACAAATAAAATGGATAAAAAAAGAAAAAAAAATATCACCAGTAAACCTGAGGAATCATTCGGCATCTTGCTGTTCCTATAGCCAGACACTTAGCTCTTATTCATCAGCCTGCTGAGCTGTTCCTTCTTCAGAAACATAAATACCATCTAACATTTTTCTTATATCCTTATTGTTTTTTTTAATCCTCACCCAAGGATATTTTTCCATTGATTTTTTAAATAAAGAATGGAAGAGAGGGAGAGAGACATCAATGTGAGAGAGACACATTGATTGATTGCCTCCCCACCTGCCCCGACTGGGTGGGGATCAAGCCTGCAACCCAGGTATGTGCCCTTGACCAGAATCGGACCTGTGACCCTACAGTCTGCAGGCCTAGGCTCTAAGCACTGAGTAAAACTGGCCAGGGCTGATATCCTTGTTTTTAACTGTTGTGACTTGCTGAATTTAGTACAATTCACTGTCATTTTCTTCAGGAATGAACTCATCTTTCTGGGCTTGAGATAATGAACTAGCAATACCTGACATCATCTGAAATCTAGGGCTGTATTTTTCACTTAAGAAATTTCTGATTTCAACAAGAGAACCATTCTTCTGAATAAAAATGTTGATGGATAATTGAGCGTATACAGTCCTCATCTTGTAAAGAAAGCCCAGTGTAACACCTTGATCATGTCTGTACATGACTGCAGATGGTGGGAACAGTGGCCAGTTCCTTTCTATTTTCCCACTGTTTGTCAACCTGGAGCCTCTTCTCTTTCTTTCCAAGGAGGTCGAGTTCTATATTGATGTGATTGAAGTCCCTGGGGTGCTTCAAAACTGTATGTCCCTTCAGAGTGATGTCCACATTTTCTGGAATGTCAACAGTCTGTTTGTTGAAAATGGTCTTCATCCTCACAGTAGCTGTGAAAAATAACTTTATTACTATTTTAAAAGTAAGCTCCACAGGCCCCTCATACCCCCAGTGTTAGCATTGATAATGTTGACTGATGGAATCAACTCAACTTTGGTGGTGCACACCCAGTCAAGGTACCTGGATAATAGCTGTGAAAGGAAGGTGGCAAATGCTGAGCTGGGGTTCTTTCTTGCCCAGGGCCCGAGTGAAAACTGGGCGTGAACAAATGTACCTATGAAATCAATGGACATTTAACTGTTCTAAAGAAGACTTTGACAATGAAATATCTGCCAAGATGGAAAATAATATCCTACTCACTGTATCTACAGGCTATTAAAGCAATTGGTTACAACTGAAAAAAAATCATCCAAAATTGGTTTTGGCATAAAACCAATGAATGTGCCTATATTTAATATATGCAGAAAATCAATTTCTTTCTCTCTTTCTCCTCAATTTATTGAAAACTGAGTCATGACTCAGACCCTTTTCTTCAATACTTAGATCAATGTCTGCACATACAAATAAGTCTGTTTTTTGAGTCTGATATTCCTAAATGATTCAGGGGCAAATCTGGTTTTTGTCTCTTGTAGCATGCAATTCTGGTGGACTTCCCAAGGGTAGGTGTAGTCTTAGAGATATAAGGATTCTCTAGGGCTTCATTACTATTCCCCACCCCCCATCTTTAAAATATCACCAGTAGACAGAACCTAGAGACAGGACTTGGCTGGAGATCCTAGACAGAACCTAGAGACAGAACCTAGCAAGAGAACATGGCAAAAGATCCTGGACAGAACCTGGCTACAGAACTTGGCTGGAGAACCTAGACAGAACCTGGCGACCGAACCTGGCTGGAGAACCTGGAGAACCTAGCGAGAGAACATGGCACCAGAACTTGGCTGGAGATCCTGGCTAGAGATGAGAACCTGGCTGGAGAACCTGGCAACAGAACCTGGCTGAGGAACCCAACTATGATGATCACCTGAATGCTGCCTCCGTGTCATTCCTTCTTCGCCTACTCCGTCCACACCTATGGGGAACCCTGTTGTTCCTGGGGGTTGGACCCCAACAATTGTATACAAATAAAATGGATAAAAAAAGAAAAAAAAATATCACCAGTAAACCTGAATCATTCGGCTTCGCCTACTCCGTCCACACCTATGGGGAACCCCTGGCACGTGGAAAATCTTTATGTTCCTGGGGGTTGGACCCCAACAATTGTATACAAATAAAATGGATAAAAAAAGAAAAAAAAATATCACCAGTAAACCTGAGGAATCATTCGGCATCTTGCTGTTCCTATAGCCAGACACTTAGCTCTTATTCATCAGCCTGCTGAGCTGTTCCTTCTTCAGAAACATAAATACCATCTAACATTTTTCTTATATCCTTATTGTTTTTTTTAATCCTCACCCAAGGATATTTTTCCATTGATTTTTTAAATAAAGAATGGAAGAGAGGGAGAGAGACATCAATGTGAGAGAGACACATTGATTGATTGCCTCCCCACCTGCCCCGACTGGGTGGGGATCAAGCCTGCAACCCAGGTATGTGCCCTTGACCAGAATCGGACCTGTGACCCTACAGTCTGCAGGCCTAGGCTCTAAGCACTGAGTAAAACTGGCCAGGGCTGATATCCTTGTTTTTAACTGTTGTGACTTGCTGAATTTAGTACAATTCACTGTCATTTTCTTCAGGAATGAACTCATCTTTCTGGGCTTGAGATAATGAACTAGCAATACCTGACATCATCTGAAATCTAGGGCTGTATTTTTCACTTAAGAAATTTCTGATTTCAACAAGAGAACCATTCTTCTGAATAAAAATGTTGATGGATAATTGAGCGTATACAGTCCTCATCTTGTAAAGAAAGCCCAGTGTAACACCTTGATCATGTCTGTACATGACTGCAGATGGTGGGAACAGTGGCCAGTTCCTTTCTATTTTCCCACTGTTTGTCAACCTGGAGCCTCTTCTCTTTCTTTCCAAGGAGGTCGAGTTCTATATTGATGTGATTGAAGTCCCTGGGGTGCTTCAAAACTGTATGTCCCTTCAGAGTGATGTCCACATTTTCTGGAATGTCAACAGTCTGTTTGTTGAAAATGGTCTTCATCCTCACAGTAGCTGTGAAAAATAACTTTATTACTATTTTAAAAGTAAGCTCCACAGGCCCCTCATACCCCCAGTGTTAGCATTGATAATGTTGACTGATGGAATCAACTCAACTTTGGTGGTGCACACCCAGTCAAGGTACCTGGATAATAGCTGTGAAAGGAAGGTGGCAAATGCTGAGCTGGGGTTCTTTCTTGCCCAGGGCCCGAGTGAAAACTGGGCAGAGCATCTCTGTGTCCTTCTCCTATTGGAGTCTATGCTCAAGTTTGAATTTATAAACAAGTGTGATTTTATTTGAGTGGCCTGGGCAGGGGTTGCTTTGTCCACTCTGCTGATGCCCGCAATCCTTCTATCAAACAGAGACCTGAGTTTGTTCCGTGGAAAGATATACATAGTACTCATAGCAATGGGTATAAGAGGAAAGGAGAGAGGTAAGGAGTCAAGAGTAAGACTCTGAATTCTTATCCCATGTCCATCATTACTTAGCAGGTCACTTTATTCTT